ATAATTTCTATGGGTCTTTTCTTTAACTGGCTCCTTTAAAAGGCTCTGGAAAACAAATACACAGGAAAAAATGAAAATATGTTAAAATAAGGAATAAAGCAGTTACTGAAGTGTAATAATCCCGGTTTATAGCACACTTTCCATTTAAATTGTTTTTATTAGAGATAAACCTGTTAAGCGTTGAGGAATTAAGTGCTGAATAGAGAAGGTTGTTTCACTGCTGCATAAATGAAGGATCCCAGTATGTAGAAAAGAGTATGGCTGGTTTTACAAGTGAATTATTTGCCAGCTTGAAGGCCTCTGCTTACTTTGGCATCTGTTTTAAAAAAAATGATGATTTGTTTGTTGTCAAGAGCAATACTGTTTTTTTCAGAGGGGAAAGAGAGATTTTAGCTCTGGGGCTTTTAGGTATTGTGGGCTTTCTCATCATTCTGACACCTGATTTGCTAGAAGGAGCTCAAGGAGAAAATGAAGCAGAGGGATTTTCGGGAATTTCTTGGCACCGCAGTCAATACACAGACTTCTGGCATGCAGTGCTTTGGGACAATATTGAGAGGCAGCAGCCTGCAAGTCCAAGTATCAAAAGTCAGTAATGGTGTGAAACTCTCCTTATTTGGGAGGGCCGGGGGGAAAGAAAAATTCAATATACGGCTAGGTCTCAGCATCTCCTTTCAGACGGCTGGTCCTGGAAAATTTCATTCAAAGACTGCAAATTGGAAGTCCCCACAATCGCTCTGTCAATTCTTGAGCAAAGGTGACTTTGGAAATTCGTGACAGGAGAGGAAGGTCTTGTTTTATTCACTCAACAGAAGCGAAATACAAGGGGAAGGGAGAAAGAACAGATCTGTGCGGAAAATGTCACTCGGGCTGTAACCTGAGCCGCAGAGAACTGTGCCTTTTGGAGGGTTTGGTGACCCTCCGAAAATCCTTGCTCTCTGGCTGCTATTATTGTAGCCAATTTCCAACTAAAATAAGTCTTTTGTCATCACCAGCCATGCCGCCTCTTGCTGAGAAGAAACAAAACTTGTGCGTGGCAGTGAGGGCGGCCAAGCTGAAGGTCAGAGTGCAGAGGTGGATTGCTGCATCCCCCGGGACCGGGCTGGATCTCACCCGTGGGATCAGCGATGCACCAACCCGGGAGACTGCCAGTGACCTCTGGAGACAGACCCCGGGCAAGAAGCCTAAGAGAAAACATCCTAGTAAAATGCAAATTGGAGAGAAGAGAGTTTCCTCCTCCTCTTTAGGGTTATGCAGGTGGAATAGCTGGGGTTTTTCTTGCTTTTTGGGACATGGCAGAAAACGCAACCTCACATGTCCAAAAGGGCAAGGAAAAGTGAACTTGAAAAAAATAATAAATATTTTAAACTTCTGTGTTTGCCCAACTGTTCAAATGTTTCCTCCATGCCAGATCCTTCCGCTTGGAAAAAAAAAAAAAAAGAAAAGAAAAAAAGAACAAAAACCAGCCCGAAGTATCATTTTGCAGAGTGCTCAGCTCTCCTTGGGCAGTGAGAGGGGTGCAACTTGTACACTGAGGGATCTCATGTTGTTTGTGCCACTATTGATTGTTCTCTTTGTGGGGGAAAAAAACCCAAAACAAAAAACCCCCTTCCAAGCCTGAGCAAAGGTACCAATGCCTAGAGCACTGGTATGGGGAAGAATACCTTATGCAAGTCTTGGAGCCTGAGTGGGTCTTTACTCAACTGCGTGAGGTTATGCCACTGTCTTAATCATTAACTTAAGTTTTATGCTGAGTTGTGTTTTGAGAATACCGCGTTTGTGTAGCGCTTAATACGCCAATATCTCTTTTAGGTCCTTATTCCTCTGAACTTTCAAAAATTAGGGTGATTTAGGGTTTCTTTCTTTCAAGACAGGCGAAGTGAACATACGGGAGAGAGGCAGTGAGATTTTTCCCATTAGCTTTTCTGTTCCATCATCTTTGCTAGTGTTACATCAGCCAGTTGCTTTGGAAATTCAAAGAGTGATCAAAAGATCTTGGCCCTTCTATCAAAGAAAAAACCAGAGAGTATAAAGAAATTATCCCCATAGCAGGGGGGTTGGAACTAGATGATCTTTAAGGTCCCTTTCAACCCAAACCATTCTGTGATTCTGTATTTCTGCAGCTACAGCTAATTCTCAATTTTGCTTGCAGAGAGTTCTCAAATGTGATTTATAAACGTAATAGCACTGCATTGTGCTCTCTCAAGGCAAGCCACGTTAATAGTTTTAATCTGCTGGGTTCTTACGAATTCCAGGTTTGGGATGCAGGAAGAAACTTGAAAGTGAATACTTTCTTCTTTTTTTTTTTTTTTAATGCATAGTGCTTTGGACTCTACTATAATGCAAAGTAAAGCATTCTGTTACAAAGGCAGGGAGGATGGGACAGAAGGTTAAAGGGCATCCTGGAAACAAACAGCTGGACCAGTTTATTTAAACAGATACAAGGATGGGGAGCTGACCTCCGTTTGACTTCTAGTGGGAGGAGCGAGAATGTCATTTTATTACTTTGCCCAGAAGGAAAATGTTCTTGCGTCTGAATTCCCCCCGAAGACATCCAAACACTGGGCTGTTTGGCAGATTTGCTACTTATAGAAAATACTTACATGAATGCGTAGGAAGAAGATAACTGTTAAGTACCTGTGTGTAAAATGTTCTTACAGCAGATATCCCAAGCAGTAGCGTGGGGCAAACAGGTGAGAACAGGTTTTACTGCAGGCCTGTCTTGTGGGTAATTATTGGTAAATTCTAGCTATATAGTTTATTATTCTAGCTATATAATTTATTATTGAGCCCCTCCCCCCTTCTTATTAAAAGCGCTGTAGTTTGGAGGAGAAGGAAGAGAAGGTTGTGGCGTTGAGGTGTGCGTGCTTAATGCCGCGCAGGGTTTCTTTGGGGTAAAACGTTTGGCAAACGAAGGTTTCTGTGACCAGCCAATCTCTTGGCTCCCAAAAACCTGCCACAGTAACAGCTCCTGGCAATCGGGCAGGAGAAGGATGGAGTAAACACAGCGAGAGCCTGCCAGGCTTGCAGAAAGGAACGGCTGGGGTACTGGGGTTTTGTGTTGTTGTTTTACTTCGGAGAGTTACTGTGAAAATTGCTTTTTGCAAATGCAGATTACAGATATTAAACAATTTTCTAATTGGTCATGGAGCTAAGGCAGCTAATGGGGGAAAAAAAGCAGGGTTATTTTAATTGCTTATTTCACATGGTGTTTGTGCTACACCTGTGCTTATAATGAGAAAGGAGAATTAGTCTAACCTTCTGCTCACATGATTATAATTTTCATGGTTTGTACAAGATAATGATAAACTGATTTGCACCACCGTTTGCTGGAGTTGAGGGTTGGGTTTTTTTATTGGAAATGCGTACAAAAATTGATCCAATACTGTTGCGGACGAAACATGACTGGGTTCAGGTGTAAGGTTTCCAGATCGGCACCCGGAATTGGTGCCTTTGAGCCCATTTTTGTTGACACAGGTTTGATTAGGACTCAACATCTTGCTTAATTTTTGTGGGAGTTTGGGTCACAGGAGTCAGTTGGGAAAGGGAGATAGGAGGAGAACAAAATCACTGTGCTGGTCTTTCACGAGGGCAACACGAACAGCGTGGGGCGGTGGTTTGTGATTCTTCTCCCTGCCGGAGTAAGGAAATGGGTGGGCAGAGCTGATTCCCGTGGGAAGGTCCTGGTGGCTTTATCTCTACAGCAGGAGAGCTCCTGCTAAGCTAAGGCAGTGAAAACAAGCACCAAGTAGCCCTTTGTGGACGTTTGCATTGCATTTGGCAAGTGTCGTGTGGTTTTACCCGTGCTCACGCTTTTTCCTTTACTAGTAAATATTGTGGCATGCGCGTTTTTATTTTAGTTTTTTTCTCTCTCATAAAGAATGTAAAGTCTGGTTATGAGGCTTTGCCCTGATTAAACCTCGATGGAGATTTTTTCCAAATGTTTTTTAACTAAGCTTTCTGATGAGCGAAACCACAAGAGAAGTTCTAACGCTCTTCAGACAGGTTCCCAGACGTGGGTTTGGGCCTCCTGGTTTCAGTGCCACGAGGACTGCCCGCAGAGGAGACTGGGGCACTTGTGATCCCTCTCCTTCTGTTTCGCTCTAAATTATTTTGAATATTCCTTTCCCAAATAAGCATAGCAAGACTAAGTGAGACGAAGAGCTACAAAAATCCATGGAGTATGGTTGCAGATGGCTATTTTTAAAAACAACTGTACCTTTTTTTTATTTCCAAATCTGCTTTTCATTGTTCGGGGGGAATTTTCAGTAGTCCAGTAATTACAGTTTAACAAGATGTTTGCTGTAAATGGTCAGGCCTAGCTGGAGAAAACAGGATTATAAATTCAATTACTGTAAAGCTATGACCTCGCCTTGACCCCTCAGACTTTGCATAAAGAGAGAGGGGGGGGAAAAGCCCACCAAGAAATGGCTAGGAGGAATGCACGGCTCTGAAGTCCCCAGCAGTGTGACTTAGTGGTGATAAAACTCCAGACGTTCCCTCATTTGATGGGGTTCTGCCATCACAGTTCATTATCTTAATAGTGGGCATTAAAAGGGAATTAGGTTTGCAAGAGGTAGGGGCAGGTTTTGATAAAAAAAAAAAAAAAGGGAGAGAAGAAGTCGGAGGACATAAGGCAGAAATGGCACTAATGAGGGGGAGGTAGCAGATGCCCTTACGAGCATCTCGCCGGCTTCACCCGGGTTTTTTTGTGCCCCGTTCTGAATTGAGAAGAGCGTTGCTGGTATTGTTTCCTGAAAACTCGGCTAATTCCCCCATGAAAAGATGAAATGGAAGTGTCTGACTGTGGTAAAAAGCAGGCAAACATAAATCAGCTCGCAAACCCCAAGCTCGTGCTCTCAAAGGTCATCGGGGTTAGAGGTTTTCTAGTATTTGCATCCCCATGCAGCCCGACGGAGAACAACGTGGCGGGCTAGAGGGCTTGGGGATGGGTGGAAGTCATCCCTTCCCTAACTGTTCGCTTTCCTCTTTTTTTGTTGCAGGTTTATTAACGCTAGAAGAAGAATAGTTCAGCCCATGATAGACCAGTCCAATCGAGCAGGCAAGTCCCCAGTAGTAACTGTATTCAAGTCACGCAGGCGAAAACCATCCTCAAGCCATTCACCGGGAGGTCCATTACCTGGTAAATAAATGAGAAATGAATGCCGGGAGTGATGGACAATTAAAATACAACCAGCTTTCTTTCATGCCAACCCTAATCATTTTAACGTAATTAAAATATTTGGGGAAAAAAATCCATTGAAAATTCAAAAAAAAGAAGCTAAAATGGTCTGCTCCGTGACCGGACTTTCCTTACATGTTTGGAATTAAAGTTGTTTTTATTCTTTTTAGTAGTTGTTCTGAGTTTTCCTTCCCAGCTCCTTCTGCTCCCGTGACCACTCCCCGGTGCATGGCTTGGTGTGGAATTGCTGTAAACTTTATTACCTGTCAAAAGGGCGAAGGGGTCAGAATCGCTTGTGGGACTCAGTAAAGTTCAAAGACATTCAATGAGGTAGAGCTTTATGTGCTTTAATAACCCAAGGCAGCTTACTTCTGAAGCCAGCTTTTAATGTACAGTTAAAACCTCCAGTTCAGGTAGTGGTAGTTGTATGGGGTCCTTTTGTCCATCGTCTCTTCTTTTTGGCAGCTGTCTTTTGGGATTGCTGTGACTTTAGGGTTTACTTGGGGGGGGATTTTTTTTCTTCAAATTTTAAAATCTTAAAGTTTTCCTGTGCCGGTTCTGTCTGAGGTCTTGGCTCACAGCTCTGTGGGGGTATTTACTATCGAGGAATAGCCCATTACTCTGAGTTGGTTTTGCTTTGCAAGCCTCGCTGCCAAACTATCCAAATCCATCGTTGTCCAAGATGCCTTTGGGCCACACTTTGGTTTTGAGTACATTCGATTATTTTGTCATTAGGGGTAAATATCTGGCACGGACGTGTTCAGGTCCTGCTCTTAGAAAGGCACATGGGCGTAATTTAACACACTGCGATTTCAGGGGGACTATTCCAGCCGTAAAATCCGGCTCCTATACAGGTCTTTGCATTGACGTCAGCAGCAGCAGCAGCTGGAGCCGGGGCTCCTCGTGTCTCGAGATTTCAGATCACTAACTTCATTTCCAAACTCACAGTTGGAAATTAAGCCAAAACTAAGCAAGCTTGGTAGCTTGGCCACTAAATTTGCACAGTGGATGTTTCTCTGTTTTTAAAGCCGGTGTCACACAGGTGGGGGGGTTGTGTCTTCGTGCCTTCAAAAGGGTGACCCTTTTTGACTGTGGCTAAAAAGCAATGTTCTGCGCTTTTCCAGTAAGTCAAGGGACACCCTATAACCCCGACGGGCAGCCGATGGGAGGTTTCGTGATGGACGGCCAGCAGCACATGGGCATCCGAGCACCAGGTAAGCCCCCAGGGGAGCGTCGCCCACCCGTGGGTGACCTTGGCTGCGCCACCACAGGTAACTCTACCTCCGCCGCCGCCTCCGCTGCCTGCCTTGCCTTGCCTGTCTTCCACCTGCCTTCCGCTCCGCCGAGGGGAAACAGGCATCTTCTCGCTCGAGGGGTCCCGGGCCCTCTGCCGTGCTGTGTTTTGGAAAGGGGCTTTTGGCACTATCTGTTGACTTTGCTCATTCTCTGGCATCTTCTTGGATTTTTATCTCCCTCTAGGACCTATGAGTGGAATGGGCATGAATATGGGCATGGAGGGGCAGTGGCACTACATGTAACCTTCACCTAGGTAACCAATGGCAAAGCCAGGGGGAAGTAAGTACAAACGGGGTCTTTGTTCTCACTTTGTCCGAGGGATATTTGTCTCCTTGCATTTCCCTATGTTCTCCCTGCCCATAGCCTCATGCTTGTTCCTTCCTTTCCATCCATCCTT